AAGTCAATTGGGGTTACACATTTAGGGCATAGTCTGTGACTCTAAGCCTTTGTGGTTATAACAGTAGATACTAAGTATATGCAAATAACTTCCTAGATAGGCTCATGGTGAAATGACAGAATAAAGGCCATTCTCTATCCTTTAGATAGAGTACAGGTTAGAGCCTCTGAAAATGGCCCATTGCAAAGGGTCACAAATGATTAAGTCATATTTGTTTCAGTGTTTTTAGAATGATGTAGCTATTAGTAACAAAATATCCAATTAATAGTAACTCCAGTAGCAGGAACATTTTATATCACCCCAAAAGGAGTGTGGAGATGCAATATCTCAGCATTTTGGTCTGCCATCCACATCTTTCGCCATATCTCTCCAACGATTACAAGATGGCAACAGTGGTTACAAACATCATATTCTCCCATCTACATATCCCAGGGAAAATGAAGAAATGAAGATGCAAGTATTTTTCTTTTGCTTGTCTTTCTTCTTTTTAAGGGAAAGGAATTGTTTCCAGGAAGCCTCCTTCATCCACCAAAATAATCTCATTATATCTTATTGGATAGAACTGGTCATAGACTGATCTCTACACTAGAAACAGGATAAGGGGAATGGAATTGGCACTGGCTTAGAACATTCATAATTTATTCCTGGGATCTCAACATACTGGTTCCTATACAAAATTGTGCTTTTTAGGTTTTTTAGTAAGAAAATAGGGGATATAGCTCTTGCTTCTATGGAAATACAAAATTTTTCTCCACCAAGGTTATAGAGTCAAACTATTAATTTCTGTTTTCATGGAAAAAGAAGAGGAAGTTAAGCTTTCTTTCTTGCATTTTCTAACTCATCAATTAAGATAAAGAAAGGCAAATTGAGTGGAATTATTCAGAAAATTGAATCATATACACTATAAACACATAATCAAAAAAACCTGATTCAACAACCAGAAGACCTGTTTGCCATCGGTTAGTTGTGGGGCCTTGGGCATGTCACTAGGGCTCAGTTCCCCACCTACAAAGTAAGAAACATTCAACCAGATAAATTGTTATTTAGTCACTTCTCAGTTTAAGTTTCCATAAGACTGAATCAGCAGGGAAGTTATATATGATGGTTTTGAAACTAAAAGTAACTTTACAGCCGAACTTTATAGCTCATAGGCAAGAATTGCACTCTATTGATTGCAAAGAATTAAAGTGACTTACAAAAGAATTTAGGAGTAAGAAAGTATCTAGGACACATTCAAACTCATAATTCATATGTTTGACTAACATAATTATACTCAGACATGTTCTTTATGGTGAATCTATCTGGGAAGAATGTTTATGGTCAGTCTTCCCCAAAGAGCATAACTAAGTGGTCTGGATCTGAAGTAAAAATGAATTTGAGAGATGCTGTGTTAATCACATTTAAGTAGATTTATTTATCACTGAATTTCATACAAAAGGGATACAAGGTCTGACAATGAAGTTCATGAACTTGATACCATATACATACATTGGCAGCACTGTACAGATAAGTTGGTAAGGTTTCATACCTTGTTATATCTGTGCCTCATAGCTTTGTTCATGTCACATGGGGTGGTGTCTCACTGAGTGGCATTAATCATTACTGTTGTGTGTTTTTGCATGCCATAGTGAAAATGTGTCAGAGTTTTCATTAGAGCAATGAACAACATTAAATTTCTTGTTGAACATGGCAAGAGAAGAAGTGAAGTCAGAGACATACTCATCCATATTTATGGAGATAATTCCAGGAAGAAAAGAAAAAGTTGTGTACAAATGGATTAAATATTTTTCTGAGGGGAAAGAGAAAGCATCACTAATGAAGAGAGGTCAGGGAAGTCAGTGATGAGCAGAACTGAGAAAAGCATTGCAAAAATTTATCAAATTGCACATCAAAATTTTCAGCTGAATGTGAGAAGCATAGCAGACTAAGTAAACATAGGTAGAAAACAGGGAAATCTTAATTGAAAATCTTGGCCAACAACTCATAGCTTATGCATCGTGATGATGCAACAGTTCATGCAGCACTCTCTGTGAGAGAATTTTAGCCAGTAAACAAAAAACTGTATTGGAACACCCTCCCTCCCTACTCACCTGATCTGGCTCCCAATGACTTTTTTCCTTATCTAAAGATAAAGGAAATATCAAAAGGAAAATATTTTGATGACATTCAGGATATCAAGGCTAATAGGATGACAACTCTAGTGGCTATTACAAAGGGCTCCAAAATTGCTTTGATGGGTGGACTAAGCAGTGGTGTCAGGGCCCAGCTTCCCAAAGAGAGTATATGGAAAGTGACCATAGTGATATTTAGCACTTTTTCTAGGATGAGTTTGCAAACTTAGTTGTCATCTTCCAACTTTAATTTTGACTATGAATCCATTTTTCATGATATATATAATTATTCTCCATTTTAAAAATAATCACATTGCCTTATCATTCTATGGAGTTAATACAGTAACACAATATTTGTTTTTTGTCCTCTTTTAGCTAGATGAAAACCCTTCCTTTCCAAACCTTTTAAAATGGCTTTTTAGTAATTCTGACCAGTTGATGATAAGATGCCATTTTAATAATGCTATCCTAAAAGTAGAAAAAAAGCAGTTTGTAAAGCCTATCTATAAATTTCACCACAGGTAATTTAATAAATATTAAATAGTACAAACTCCTCCTTAGCATTGTATAGATACAATATTATAGGCAATGCACTTTTTATTAAAACTATTTTAACTTATTTCTTAATGATCATTTATAGCCCTCTTTTTTGAAATAGTTCATAAAATAACGGTTCAGGGAAATGTTCTTGGAGAAACATTAATTCAAGCTATTTTTCTAAATGTGTCATAATAAATTGCAGATGTACTCAAACTTATTTAAAAGAAAGAGCAGGAAGACCACAGTTGGGAAGAGCAGGAAAGTTTTTACTGCTTAAAGAAAAAAAAAAGTCAGTCAACAAGGGTTCCCAGGCAGGAGTCACACTAAAACAGCTGGTAGACCAAAACCTCAAATTCTACTGTAACTTTTGTAGACACTAACTGCAGAAAATGGGAATGAGTTTCCATCCCTTTGTCATGCAGCCACTAAGAGATGGGTATTGCCTGCTGGGAGGACCATGTTGCTGCCTGAAGCACAGTACAAATGGCAGTGAGCCTCTGTCAGGGGAACAAACTAGTCTCTGTTGATTTAGTAGAGGAAAGCAGCCTGACAACAGAGAAAAGCTTGTATATTCCAATATCAGAGGTATGAGTTCTCACGGGGTAAACACATCATCACTTGCCCATGAGCATGTGCAATAGTACCAGAAATGGCTTCTTAAGTATCTAACAGGTCAAATAATCTAAGAATCAGGAAGAATGGAAAAGAAAGTTCAAGACTTAACTTGTCTCATGAAAATGTTATAAATAACAATAATAAGACAATGGAGTATTTGTTAAGCAGATACTTCAATCTATAATATTATTTCGCAAAGCCCTTTTCTGAGTTTTCAGAAAACAAAACTTAGACTTACTGTTGAGTAACTGTCCAAGTTCTTGAGAACTTTGGCCAGGTTATGGAGAGTGCTTTTGGCATGCTCATTTATGTGGACATCATGGATGGGTGGGTGGGAAGAGACATCAAACGTTAGCTAGCAAAAGTAAACGGATACAAAACCAGAATGGACTGGCATAAAGACATACCCAATTTGGCTACCATTTTCATTTTAAATTAGAATGTTCAAAATAGAATGTCGTTAATTTCCATTTCACAGTGATTTAAGAGAACTCTGTTTGTATTTTTTCTAATAAAGGATAGCTTTAGTTTAAAAACTTAAAGATAAATTTCCTTCAATTTGCGGCCTTACCAATCTGCCTAACTAGACAACATTGCCATCTAGTGGCCTACACATACTACAGCTACCACTTCTGGGGTGGGACTAGGGGTCCTAACAGGGCTTTAAGGGGTGTGCCCAGTAAATGGAATGTTAATAGCGATGCTAAATCCTTTCAAGAGCACACAAATGATCCAAAGCAAACATGTACTAAGATTCTATTAGAGAACCCACTCTGGTCCCAAAGCTAAAAGCTTCACTGAGAAACCACTACTGTCACCATTGAAAGAAAGTTTGAACCTGCCTCACCTTTCCTTTTCTTTGAACCTTCAAGATTCATTTATCACTCCTGTGTTCACTTTTCCACTTGAAAATGTTTTACATACATTCTTTCATGTTCACAATGGGAATGTTGCTCTACATCACCATCCAGGTAAAGAAGCAGCTATCAGTTGCTAATCATGATCAAGAACCTAACAAAGAATCAATCTCTGTCTTAACAGTGAGACCCCTAACAGGTCCTCGAATGAGCAGCAAAGAGCTAGGTTTGGGTCTAAACTAGATGAAGATTTCAGGGACAGGAAAATAGGAAAAGGCTTACAAGATTGGCACAGATACAGCTTCAAGTGAGGCTCCCAATGTTCTAGAGATAAATACTCTTAGCAAATATCCTTTGGGGCCTCTTTTTAAATTAAAATCAGATACTCACTGCTTCCCCTGATTTACTGGAAGGCTTATGTAACCCTTAATTCTGCAAACAGGCCACTTATTGAAGCCACCATCAACATGCTGAAGCAGCATGGAAAAGCATGGGGAAAGAGCCACACCCATGGCTGGGCCACGATGAGGACACCACTGGTGGGTTCTTGCTATACCCCATCTCTGACCCTGCACAGTAAAGATCTTGAAGGATGTAAGAGTACAACCAAAACTGCCATTAAGTCTTTTTAAGACTTTTTTTGATGAAATAAGTATAGAAACACAGGACATCAGAGCTGTTCGAATAAAGAGAGGAAAAGCTGGAAGAGGCAATTTTCAGAAATCCAAATACAGTATGTGCTTCTCCAAAATTTGCATCAGAGGTTGAGTCATGCCCATGCAAACGGATCTTAGTTCAAATTCATGTCAGAAAAAATCTGGAACACACTTAACTTCCCTTATGCAAATCTCCTGGGAAAGCAGCCGTTGGTTCTTACCTATAATAAACAGAATCTCCACTGCAATGTCACTGACTGTTGTGCTCCGAGTTGTGGACAGGTCATCGTTGCCAATAAAGCAAACGTTGTAAGGTACGGTCACGGCGACATAAAACGTCGCCAACAAAATAAGCCAGTCCCAGCCAGCTTTAAAAGTGCTAAAATGCAAAAGTATGAATTTGGACTTTTTTGCATCAGAAACTTTATACTCCGGAAATGCTGGTTTATCTACAAAAACATTCTGTGGATAAAGACAAAAAGGAGAGACAGGAGAAACATAATATTAGAAACAAAGATCACACAGCTTAAACACACTTATTAAAAGTGACTTTTAAAAGATGGTGATATAAAACACTTAAATGACTAAGCTGAGCAGAGATCTTTGTTAGAAGAGGAATGTGCAGAGTTTAGTCATGAATGTTAAATGAGTAATCTAAATTTTGTTCATTAAAAATAAAATTACCTAAAATGTCATCCCAGGCTTGGTGCCTGTAGCTCAGTGGCTAAGGTGTCAGCCACATGCACTGTGGCTGGAAGTTCAAACCTAGCCTGGGCTGCCAAACAACAATGACAGTAACAACAACACTAAAAATAGCCAGGTATTATGGTGGGCACCTGTAGTACCAGCTGCTTGGGAGGCTAAGGCAAGAGAATCGCTTGAGCCCAAGAGTTTGAGGTTGCTGTGAGTTGTGATGCTACAGGACTCTACAGAGGGTGACATGGTGAGACTCTGTCTCAAATAAAATAAAATAAAATGTCATCCCAAAACATCTGCCATTGTAAGTAATCCTACGCATATCATAAATATAAAGATATGCTTATATATTTCTATTGTCATGGAGACATTTTGTATACTCATAATTTTTAGGTGATAGTCATTATCTAAAGACTTAAAGACTATATTAATATTTGATCTGATACTCTATTGGTGACAACAAAGGCACCATTTTTTAACCAATGTGCTATTGTAAACAGCGGTTTATATTATTTTCAGAATGTAACAGGATTGTGCTAACTACATGCATTTTTGCATTGTGGTTGTTGGTGAAGTTTCAAGTTGCGAACCCAGACCTCATTACCTTCACTGACGCAAATGCATTCTGACATTGGCCAGATTTTGCTAAGACAGTAAAGTGAGAAACGGTTACTTAAGGGTTATTATTCAAATCATGGAGGAAAAAGGCAATTCGCTGTGCAGCTGATTAAATGCAAAATAGCTGAAGTTTTTGATAACTGCAAAAGCACTTCACATTGAAAGCAGTCCAAATTGATGAACAATTCTCCCATTGCTATGAGACAATGGGAGACCCAGGAACAGCGTGTGCAGAAATTTGACAAGCCTGTGACCAGACTCTTGCAGACCTTGCTTTAACCTCAATTAATGCAAAATGCAAGATAGGTAATGGAAACTTAAATTTGAAAGTTGAGTTGAATCAACAGAATAGTTAAACGTTCTAGAATACATGTTACTTGTATTCACAATATCATTGGGAGAAGGACAGATTAACGTGGTGTGTCCGGGCACGCCTGAAGTACCTCAGGATTCAAGAAAGGTTCAGAGAGATCAGGAACACTTAGCTCTAAGTGGGGACTATCAGTGATTAAATAGTCCTGCTACCTTAATATTAACGGACCCCTCACCCCTGGCCTGGCATCTCCCTTAAAGGTAGGCATTTTCAACACCTGTTTCTACTTCCTGTTTATCCTTTCACTCAACCCACACAAGCGCCTCATGATAGCAGCACTGCGTGGGGAGGGGCCCGGGTTCACTACTTCTAGATGGTTCTTTGATGCCCATCTGCCATTGCATCTATAGTTCATCCAATTTCCTGATATTTTCTTCTGTCTCTTTGCCTCATTTTCAAGGAAGAAGTTTTGGACGTCGACTTCAGCATAAAACTGAGAGGATATGAAGTCCTCTGTTGGCTTCTCATCAGAACTCAGGCTCGTGGCATAAAAAGAGGGGATTAGGTCTGCGAGTATTAATCTCCTCAAGGTTGGCAAGCTTCTCCGCTGCAAGAACACACGATGAATTCTAATTTTCCCCTTAGATATTTACCACTAGAAGAATTTATGGGAAGCTTTGGGGGAATATCTCACTTTCTACTTACATACGTTTTCTTCTGTTATATCACATAAATTAAAATTTTACCTTGTTTGAGAGAAAAGCCAGATCTAGGGGGTGAGGATTTGGGAAAACTCAAGAAGCAAAGTATTTTCCTTGGTTTCCACTGGTTACATGATGCTATTGTAAAAGTTCTGTGATCATTAGTTACCTCCACAAATCAGAAAACACATCTCACAATTTCATTTTTGTAGGTTACTTAAAACATATTATTTACAATTATTTTGACAGATACTGAGAATTCAAAATATGTTAGATTAGTCTTAAATTTTGAAATGCTGTTAAGTCAAATCCTGCGTACATTTTTAAACAATCACCTGAGTGAAAAAAAAATAGACCCTCTTCTCCTCCCAGAATGGTAGTTTTCATTTTACCAAAAACCTTTTTAAAAGGAAAATAAATTCTTAGAATTATAAAAAAAAAGTACACAATGATAAAATTGTCCTTTTAGCAGGAAGTAAGGGAGAAGCATATTATTTATAACTCTCAAATGTTGGTATTTACCTAAAGAATAATACCACCTAGTCTAGATTTTAGACATATTATTTATTAATTTTGAAGCAGAGCTCATCAGTACTAATGGTGTTTTAGCTATTTAACCTGTCCCCTATGAATTGTTAAGACACAATCATTAACTCCAATGCCTAAGTAAGGTAACTGTTTCCTAAACTACTTTCACATTTTTTTGAAACTATCATATGAATGAGTAAGGGGATAGTAAAGTATTTCTACAGTCACGACTCTGGGTAATCCAAATAATGTGTCTGCCTTTGATGGCCACCAGCACAGACCCTCTTCGGTACTATTACTCATTTGTAGCAGTTTCCTTTCAAGCTTGCAAAGCGCTCATGTGAACTTTACACCTGTGTGTGTTTGCATCCTTCCATTCTCATTTAACAGAACAACAAATCAAGGCAGGCAGAAATAAAACACCTTTTCCAAGATACAACAGGCAGTTAGAGCCGGGACTCAAAGGTATTGTAGCCTGATTCCCCAGCCCTGTGAGTCCCCTGATGACTTGTCTCTACTGCGGCTGAAGCACATACTCCTGCTTCACAGAACTGTCCCGGAGAAGCAGTGAGGCAGGAGTCAGAGCACAGCGGCTGTGAGTCACGAACATTAAGGACTGCGGCTTCTACTTTTGAGACTGTAACTCGTTTTTATCCCATCATTAAAACGGGACTAACAAAAGTCAGACCTAATACTGACTTGCTGTGAGAATCAGACAATATGATACAAGTAAAAGGAACTTGTAAATAGCAAAGGGCTACAATACATTAAGAATTTTTGTGTGTGTCAATGTTATTAGAGCCAGAATTACTCCAAGATTGATGGTTTAGTCAATATACTGTGCAGATCATTTCTTTTCTTCATTCTCTGGTCCCACTGTTCGTTTTTTAGCTGTTCTACCCTGTTCTTCCTGTAAGGAGATGGTGAACAGGGCCAGTCTGAATCCTACACTTTGTTTTTTTCCAGAGGTAAAATGTTACCTGCAGTATCAGAGTCATAGTGCTGACTCAACATCTTTAATTACTATGTGTTATTTTAGTGCCTTCCCTGATATTTGCCCTTTTTAAAGGAATAGCAATTAGGCAAATAAGCTAAGCAGGAGGAGTTACGATTTTGTAAATCACATTTTTAAGTACTCTTTTAAACTTTGTCAAAACTAAAGAGAAATATAGCATACTCAGCAAGTGCATTTTAAAGCTCACTAATAATTATGTTTAAATGTAAAGCAAGATGATGATGTCAGCTTTCAGCATTACAAAATCACTGGATAATATTTGTTTAGGTGCTTTGTTCATTGGCTTGCACGAAGTCAAGCCCACATGTGATTACTTCTGTTTCTTTCTAGAACTTGTTTGCTATGATTATGACTAACTTGGTAACTGAAGGGAGATGTAAATAGGGACCAGTGGAAAGATCCACGGATAAACGGTATGTGCCATTTTAAGTCTCTCTCTGGACACCAATGCAGAGGTGTCCCTAGGAAACCTTCCTATTAAGTCAGGACAGAAAAACAAACAACCCCCTCCCCCCAAACAAACAAACAGTATGTGACTCTCTATAGCAGCGCCTGGCAGACCAGTGTATGGTCCTTGGAGCACAAATAATTCAAAATTTTTTTACAGAAAGAAATTGCACTGAAGCAGAGCCAGGGCTGCAGCACTGGCCTTTCCCATAACCTCCAGCCACGCTTTGGGCTCATACAGCTTTCACTGTTTACCTCGGAGAAACAGGTCATTTGTATGTCTGATGTGTGGCCCTGTTTAATCAGTAGATTGTTTTATGTCAGATTAGGTAATTTTCAAACTTACTATGTAAAAAGTGAAGTGCTAAAGCCTCCTTGTGTGCTTAACTCCTAGAACTTCTGAACATTCAGTGGATTGTAAAATAGCTCTGGTTGTTTGAATGTATATGTCATTGGCGAATGGCCCTGGAATATTTAATCTGCCAACTATAGTCACTCAACACCAGAGCTATGTTCTGGGGATTCTGCAATGACATTAACATCATCTGAAAAATTACCTTTGAGTACTTACTACCTAGCAGACATTACTCTAGGTTTCTTGGTGAAGTCTGCTAGTGCCCAGAACCAATTATGAAATTAAATGTGATATCCTAGAGAGTGTGTATTACGTTAAGCTGAGAAGAATCGCTGTTTTTAGGCAGTTATTTGCTGTGATTTTTGACAGGTAAGCACCATGTTTCTGAAAGCAGCTCCACTATAATTCACTAAAAGTGCAACTTTTACAGAACTGTGCAACGTGTGGCATGTACTTTCAAAGCCAGTGTTTCACTGTGTGAAATTATCAGCTGTGTTTGCATAACATACAAGTTTTTGAACAGATTAATGATTTTGACTTTGTCATGACCCCCCCCCCAGATAAAAGCATTAAGTGAAATGAGATTAAGTGTAAAATAGATGAAACTAAAATTAAATTCAAGGAAGTTTAAACAACAAACTATGAATGTGTAATATGACTTGCTGCATCATTTTGTATCATAAAATGTAACCAAGAGGCCCCCACTTGCAGTGTCCTGAGGACCATATTGCACCGCTCTGTAATAATATTCTAATCTCAATGCTGTGATAACATTATGATTAAGCACTTTTATTACAGAAATGCCTCATGACTGCTGACCTTTTCCAGTTGGTTCTTTATGGGAAAGCACAAGCCAAAGTGGAAAAAACAATCTAGGAAAGCCAATAAATGAATAATTGGAGCCTTTCTTTAGTGACTCAAAGACTGCCACCAGGGAAAACCAGCCTCCACAGTGTCCACATACACCACCTACGTTATTTATTTTCAATTTGTTCTTTTCTCTTCTTTGCAGGTGCCCAGAGATGTGATAAAGGACGGCTCGGCTTCGTCTCCGGGCTGAGTCAAAGTGGGTCCCTGTTCTTGATCTTCCTTTGACTTTGTCTGGGGGAAAATAAAACTCATTAGAGACCAATGAATGCGTCATTTTATCTCAACGAGTTGACAGTTCCCTTAAAACACACATAAAACATGTATTTTTAACATTGAAAATGATCTGATGGCTCCTAATGACATTTAATTTTAGTCCTTTACAATTTATATATATTTTTCATCATATTAACTGCATGCATTTTTTACATTAAGAGAAGACATGCCTGAAAATAGAAAAACTTTCAATTAGTTCAGAAAAGCATGAGTAAGTATTAGTCCCTCCTTTCTGCTATTACACACTCATATCTTTAATTCTATTCTCAATATTTTTAAATTTCTTTCCAGAAAAATTTCAAACACATATCCTCTATCTAATTTTTACTTTTCTTTGCATACATGGAAATTCACAATAAAACTATTTACATATTACTTTTTACATCAAAATATTTATAAATTATTCCAAATTTCCACATAATAGTTCTCTTTCATTCTCTTTAATGACTAATATCATAACGTGTTAAGGTTATAATTAGCCTTATTAATGTTACTATTTCTTTATTGTCAACATTTAGGTTTATTTAATTAAAAAATAAAAATCTTCGTAGATAGCTGGGCATGTTGGCTCATGCCTATAATCTTAGGACTCTGGGAGGCTGTGGGAGAAGGATCTCTTGAGCTTAGGAGTTTGAAACCTGGGCAAGAACAAAATCCCATCTCTATTTAAAAAATAAAAATAAAAAAAGAAAGAAAAATTAGCTGGGCATTGTGGTGGGTTCTAGTAGTCCCAGCTACGCAGGAGGCTGAGGCAGGAAGATCACCTGAATTCAGGAGTTTGAGGTTACTGTGAGCTAGGCTGATGTCCCATCCCTGCTGTCTCTTTTGCTTAGAACACAGTGAAACTTTGTTTCCAAAGGAAAAGAAAAAAATCTGTGTAGGTAATCTTACAATGAAATTTGTAAATGTATAGAGCTTTGAGTTCATTCAGTACATAAATTACTAGTAGGGGTATCTACATTTTAAATTTGGCTATACATATTCCAAAATGAAATTCCAGCAATTTATACTCTAAACAAATGAAGCACTTATACCTACTTTACTACACACATGCCAAAAATACAAAATATCAAATCAGTATTGTTTCATATTTTAATAGTTAAAAAATGCCTTATCACTATTTGAATTTATATTCTAAAAATTATGAAAGTAGATGAGTGCACTTTAAATTTATCATTCACTCACATTTGCTTTTCTATGTTTATTCATATTTTCATCAATTTTAAAATTAAATTAGTACTTTTCAGTTGTTTGTAATAGCTCTTTGAATACTAGAGTAATGGCCATTTTCTTATCATATATGCTGTCAAAAATATTTCCAAACTGTTATTTGGCTTTGTTCTTTATGAATATAAAAATGTCAAATTTTCACATTGTCAGACTTATCCATGTATTCGTGGTGTCAAAATGATATAACCGAATTGTCTTCATACTGAAATCTATGCGTACTTCTTCCAATGTCTTTATGCCTCTACTTTAAAATTTTTAAACATTTAAATCTTTTTTTTTTCTTTTGAGACAAGAGTCTCACTCTGTCACCTTCAGTAGAGTACCATGGCTTCATAGCTCACAGCAACCTCAAAGTCTTGGGCTTAAGCGATTTTCTTGCTTCAGTCTCCCAAGTAACTGGGACTATAGGTGCCCAACACAACATCTGGCTATTCTTAGAGATGGGGTCTCGCTCTTGCTTAGGCTGGTCTTGAACTCTTGAGCTCAAGTGATCCTCCCACCGTGGCCTCCCAGAGTGCTAGGATTACAAGTGTGGGCCACATGCCCAGCTGCTAACATTTAAATTTTTAATCCAATTGGGCTATATTTTAATAAAGCAAGTTAACAATTTATTTATGTGATTTCCTTTCCAAAGGGCTGTTGTTCAAGGAAAAGAAATAAAATGGTTACGTTACATTAAGAAACATTTATTCTTTGTTCAGTCAATTGATCAAATACACACATTGATTCTAAATTAATTGTACCTATTACACAACATAAAAAATTGAAAACTATTATCTAAGTTTCATCATCAAATTTCTCTAGTATTGTGAATTCTCTGATTTCTCTCCTTCATAAAAATAATTTGGTTTGCTTGTCATGTCACAGAATCCATGACATGTTGATAGCTACTGTGTTCTAGGTCCTCAATATATGTGATTAAAGTTGATCATCACAAATACCTATAAGATCAGTGTTATTATTTTCAATTTAAAAGTGAGAAAACTGAAGCTCTGATAACATGGTATTTGGTCACATGGCTAGTGAGGAGAATTGGCATGGGAAGGTAGATTAGTATGAGTGTTGTTTAACATTTTGATAGTTGAAAAATGCCTTGTCACTCTTTGAATTTATATTCTAAAAATTATGAAAGTAGATGAGCACACTTTAAACATTTATTGTTCATTTGCATTTATTTTTCTGAACTCTATTCATATTTCTGTCAATTTTAAGATTGAATTAGTATTTTTCAATTATTTATAATAGTTCTTTGTAAATTATTTGCAAATAGTTCACACACAGCGCCAAACCCCTTAGTGACTTCACTTCATTCTCAGGAGGCTGCTCCGTGTGGAGTGTCACACAGGAGCATGGTGTAATGTGTGTCAGAGTCCCTCCCCATCACAGTTCAACTTCAAGTCTTTCCAGGGCTTCAATGAGCCTCCATTCCTATTTCATCCTGAGATGCTTTACTAACCAGCAAGCAGGATGCTTCATTCACTGCAAAAGTTTAATCTGTGACAGGTTTTTCTCTTAGTTCCTTATCTTTTGCTGCAAACTTTGCAAGAATGTTTAAAATAAAATACTTACATTACTATAGATTTGAATCACTAAAAACATATTGAAAAACACAAATAATAATATCAAAAGGGGCACTTTTTATGAAGCTCATGGCTGCACAAAGCACATTTTATTATACCGCTAAAAGTTAAGATCTAATTTTCATGTGTTAAGTTTTTTGGTCCATACAGGACTCTTGTAAATTGCATTGGAAGATGTAATCACTACTCCAGCAGGGAGTAATTTTGAATATATTTGTATTTGAAAATTGCCAGAGTCTAAAGGCAACATCTACAGGAGTTTGGTAACAACGGCTAGCAGGCTGCTTATGCAATATCAGTTGGTTTCAAAAATGCCAAGTGAAATTGCAATGATAACCATAAAACGAACCAAATTAGACATTTGTAACAGTCAATAAGCCAACTCCTTTCTCAGTGAAAAAATCTAATTAATGGCTGAGATTTTTCCAAATCAAACAACAATAATTTTATCATCTTAGAAAACGGCCCCTCAAAGGGAAAGGTCATGAAAACTCATCTGTCTTATTTTTGGCTCTAAATGGAAGAAAAAACACTTTGTGAAAATTTGTAGTAAACCCTCATTAAAGATTAGGGTTGAAAACCATCGTACTTATATGGTATAAAATCTCCCAAGCTGAGCAATGAATTTAAAATGGTCTCTGTTGGTAGCTCCCAATGGAAAAAAATTATATACAGAATATGTCAGAGTCCCTCCCCATCACAGTTCAACTTCAAGTCTTTCCAGGGTTTCAATGACCTCCATTCCTATTTCATCCTGAGATGCTTTACTAACCAGCAAGCAGGATGCTTCAATCACTGCAAAAGTTTAATCTGATGTGACAGGTTTTTCTCTTAGTTCCTTATCTTTAAAAAGGAATATATGTAAAAGAATATACATAAAATATTCACTATAGCAGTATTTGCTATCTATACACATACAAAATCATCTCTCTCTCTCTCTCTCATATATATACACACACATAATGTAAACATTTTTATGTGTGTAACTAGAAACAAGCCAAATTTCCATAAACAAAAGAATGCCTAATTTGAAGTATAGTCACAACATAGAACATTATAATTCATTGAATAGGACTTACGTGGGAATTAAATGAAAAATCAATAAAATAGTGCTTCCCTATTTGCATAGAAGTATCTCAAAATCTCAGAATACTCGAGAATCATATTAAGTACAAAAGCAAGAAATAAAAGATGACAAAAAGACAAAAGTTTATAATATTCACACATAAGCAAAATTAAATAACATGTTATTTAAAGAAATGTACAATTCCTATAAAATATACATAATCACATGACTGCAAGTAGCTGCAAAACAGCCTTGGAAATAGAGTGTCTGGTTGGGACACCAGGAGCCTTACTAAATGGTATCATTAAAATTCTTTTTTTAAGCTGGATATTGGTGCATAATGATTCGTAATAATGTGATAACCAAGCCTCCTACCCTTAAAAAAGAAATTTCCTTTGAATCCATTAGTCCCAGCCTCCTCAAGGATGAGGAGAACTCTGAGAAGAGGCCTGAAGATAAGGGAGTGCGTAGGGAGGGAGAAGAACTTCAAGGAGAAACTTGAGATAAGAAAGTGTGTAGGGAGGAGAGGCTTGATGTGCCCTGCCACCCCCTTGTACTATGCAATTTCCCCCCACCCAAGGCTAACCACAATGATTCAGCTTCTGTACCTCTGCCTGCTTACTGTGACACAGAAATAGGGTATAAAGACCCATATGATCTGTCATTCAAGGAGGCTTGCCTCCAAGGGCAATGACCCCCCCGCAGGTGTCATAAATTTGTATTTGCATAAAAGTGGGCTCCATGTCTCCTTCTCAGCTGTGTGAGTCACAAGAATAATAGTTTATGCTATGTACATGTATGTTATTTATATTGTATTTTTAATATAAAATATTTCACAATAAAAATACTCGACAAGATTGAAGTGATTATGAAACCATTTAACGGTGGGACCTGACAAAATTCCTTGAAGTTGGTGGAGATGAGTGACTTAAGGCTAAAATCCGATTAATGAATAGTTGTTAATAAGACAAGGTGTGTGTGTGTGGAGGGAGGGAAGGAATAATAGGTGTGAGGGAATCGGACAGAAAGGAGCATGGCATCTTTGAAGAACTATAAAAAGGGTTAGGATACAGAAAATAGAG